ATTACTTTTCTATTTGTTTTTCTCTTCGTTTTATATGAACAAGATCTACGGCACTTTTGAATGGGATGACACAATAATTAAGCGTTTTTAGTATGGAATTCTAACAGCTTCTACAACCATGAGTTGATTTTCAGGATTACTTCCCCAACTACATAGTACCAGTTGCTTCAAAAGCCACTTCTCTCTCATCTCCCATACTGAACGTAATCGCCTCTGACACCTTTTGTGGTGCAACGATCACTATTCCAGCGGAAGATTTTCTCTGCCACACTTACTTTATTTGTTCATGTTAAAAATACTACTGAAGTAACGCCGGCTGTTGACCAAGGTAACTAGCGGATTTGTTCACATGGAACTTTTTCTTAATTATTCTCTTTTACTGTTCCTAGGCGGATCGTCACTAACTTCTACAACAATTGGGCAGTCAACCTATAAATTCGCAATTCGATCTAATGGTACTTACTTACATTAAAAAAATATTTCGAATTCCATTTCAAGTAAGCATCACCGTTGCAGCGGAGGCGTTATAAGGTTTGAGCAAATGGTCCGCTTACCACGAGTGCGGTCTAGGCTCTATCCCATACCCCTTCTTACGAGGCGATTTGCTTCTTCAAGCAACGAAAACTCGCATTTTCGGCTCATTACTAAGCATGCGAAAAAGACGCTCCATCACGTGTAGGACCCTTGAACTTATCGTACCCAGAATGACAGAGTAATCTCATGTTTAGTCCAGGTGCTAACCTCATCCCTTCTGTCTTCAAAATAATCGACGAACTTAGCTTATGACCATCTTGAAGATGAGTCATGGAGAATAAATCATTATGTGTGGTGACCTTGCCCTAGGAGCTGGATGGCTGGTGTCTTTCGTTATGAGAATGACAACTCCCTGAAACCTGCACGTCACTGAACCCTCCCTGAAACCTGCACGTCACTGAACCAAGGAAATCGAGCAACTGCTTTAGGCAAAAAACTGCGAGCCGTCTTGAGCTCTGGCGACATAAGATAGCCTTTCCTTCCTGTGACCGTCAAGGTAGTGGCGGAGTGCGCACTTCTGCTTGCAAAAGACAATCAAGGAAGGCGCAGTCCGGCGACGGGGGGGGGGTGCACATTGCTTTTTTCGCACTTCCCATCGACGTGTCGACCATCTAGACAGCCTCCTCCCGAGTTTACCGTAATAGCGACGAGTTTGCTCCAGCTTCGCAAGGGCTCAAAGCTTTCACCAGAGGGAGCGATGATCCGGAAACAGTGAAAGAACGGACGTGAAAAATGCCCCTTCCCCACTTCCGTCGCCGAAGTGCACCATTAAGGAACACTGCACCTCTGGCCTCTCATGTGTGTAAGTAGCTCTAGCTCGTCAACCCATGGAGTGCGGCTCCAGGGCTAGAGCAAAGTGGCCGTTTTCTTTCAGCAGTGTGATAGTTGATACTTTTAACTAAAAACTTCGACGCTTATCGTAATTGATCGAATGCCCGTTTGGTGTGAGATGAGGTGCGCGTTTCGGATTCCCCAATTAGGGACGAATTCACGCAATTTCTGAATAAAAGTTGTGTACCGACAGAAGGTCTTCAACAACTTCTCACTACCCGTGAAAAGGTTGGATTGTGTGCAATTGCTCTTGGATATCCATGTGAGCAGATGACTACGCACGTTGCCTTACCCCTCCTCATATGAAACCTATTTCAAAACGACTCTGGAAAACAAATATTGA